GTGCCCGCCGCCAGGGACCCTCCCCACCCGGCCCGGCTCGGCTCGGCTCGGCTCCGCTCCCCCAGGTCCACTGTTTGCGAATCAGCCCCGACAGTTGACCGCTTCGCCGCTCGAAGCCCGTTTTTTCTGGCTTGACCGAAAAATAAAGTTTCATTCCGCACCCCCCCCCCATTTCCGAGAAACGGGGAGCCCTTTCTCTTCTGGTTCCTTCTCCACATCTGGGAGCTGTGTGGGCAGCGCGCCCACACACATGCCCTCGCATCTCCCGAATCCTGCTACAAGAGCAATCCATTCGACTAACCTCAGTGATTAAGCAAAACAAAACAAAAACGAAGAAAATGTAATAACGAATTTAGAGAGTCCACCATTCCTAGTACGACCTTTCCCCATCGGTTGCAGAAGCCACTGCCTGAATTCCTAGGAAGATCTCAAATTCCTGCAACTCCTGGATTACCCTAGTGTCTTTCTCCTTCCTCTCCCACCCTCCACCCCTGTCACGCTCTCATATTAATGTGCTGTTTTACATTTTTTTTTTTTTTAATTTTTAGGGAAAGTAGAACTGCAAGGAAAACGCCTAGAGATTGAACACTCGGTCCCCAAAAAACAAAGGTAGGAAAGAGCTCTTCTCTGGGGGGTCTGAGAGGCAGTGTTCAGGGGTCCATAGCGTCTCCAGTGGAAGAAACCCATTACTGGCCTTCCCACCCCCAACTCCGGATGTTGGGGGCAGGGAGGGGAGGTTGGCCAAGATCTTGTAATGGGTGGTTTACAGCTTGTAAAAGAAATAAGTTGGGGCTGGGGTGGGCTGGAAGATGTTACTTGCAGAATTAAAGAGAGAAAAATCAATAGGAGAGAAATCTTGTGGAGTTTGTTCAAGGTGTGGGGCTGTTTTTTTGTGGGGAAGCTTAAAATCTTTGAAGGGTGTAGACTCCTGGCGAAGACGATTTCTCCAACTTCCTAGCAGGCCTGATTTTCTGCCTTCCCACCCTTCTCGCACCATAATTCTTAACTAGATTTAAAGGGGAGGGTGGTGAGGGAAGGAAAGCCCCTTTCCACTTCCTAGGGGAAGTGAAATGAACTTCCTGTCCCCCCCCCCCCAAGAGTCCCCTATGGTTGTGCTTCATTATATTTTTGCAGCAAGCAAAGACATTTTTTCCACAGACCCCTAGCCCCTAGTTTCTCACATCTCACATTGCCTTCCCCTCCCCAATTGGATTTTCCAAAGAATATGCTTTGGCTGTACTATCCTTTTCTAGCCCCCCACCCCCACTCCTTCAGCCCATTGTTAGAAGGGGACCATCTGGGGTGAGAGCTTTGTGTTCAGCCTGTGAGCTGGGGCTCTTTGGAGGGTCTAGAACTCAGTGGATGAATGGTGTGTGTGTGTCTGTGTGTCTGAGTGTGTGTGTGTGTTCCAATACCCTCTATCCTCTATCTCCACCAAAATGGGGTACCTCGGTCATACTTCCTGAAAATTCCTGGTGGATTGCAGATCTTTCATTGAACTCTGAAATTCTTGGTTGAACTCTGGCTGGGAAGTCTCAGGGCAGTCTTTCTACTTTCTCAAATTAGACTTTAAGCAGGTTGACTGACAGTGCATAGTTTTTCTCATGTTGCTAGTTGAAAGCAGCCTTCAATAAATCTTTAATGCCTCCCCATCTCAATTGGAAAGGTACTGTTTTTAAGATTAGTCTCTAGCCTTTTCTGGGGACTAGGGAGAAAGAAGGGAGGGAGTGGGTGGCTGTGCTTTTTTTGGGGGGGTGGTTATGAGGATCTAGAAAGTTTAACTGGAAATGGAAGTCTGTTCAGTGGTTTAGCTTGAGATACTTAAGTAACTAGGAACTATTGTATCTATGGGTGATCAATATGGCTTACCAGAGCTTGTGATTTAACCTCAGATGCTTGAAAAACTCTGTTATTGGAAAGGCAATTAGAGTCAGGAGTAAAGAGGCAATAAAATTGGAAGGAAGAAAAGTCTTATTTTGAAACACTTTGTGGAGATGAGAAGAGGAATAGATACACTGGCACCAGTAGGTTTATTGAAAAGATTAAGGATATTTGCACTGAAAGCTAAGTGTTGATGAGAAATTTCCAGAATAACTGGAATTTTGAAATATGTGGACATTTTCTCTTTTGCTGTTGAAGATGGTTTAAATTTGAAAGGAAATAAAACGAAAAGCAAGGGAAATAGTAAAATGTGATGAAATGGGACTCAAAACATTTATATTTTAATTTTCATGGTGCCCTGCATTTATGGATCTTTTTCCCCAAGCCATCTGCTTGCTTTTAAGCTGTTTCTAGGCTCCTTCTAGTTCCCTCCAAAATGCAAAACTGAGGGTCTCTTTTGAGTTGGAATGGAGAGGGGGTTTGTGAGAAGACTTGGTAAAACAAAAACAAAAAAACCCAAAAACTCCCTTTCCACACCCATATTAAATTAGATCTTTTGTGTTCTCTCCCTTCCTGAAATAATTTTTGAGTCTAAACATTGAGTCTTGTGTTTTCTTTTTTTCCTGCCTTTCTCTCTCTCTTTTTTTTTTTTTTTTTTGAGGTGGCTATGAGAAGGCACTTCATTTTTCTAGAATGAATCAATTTTTGAAGTCTCGGTATTTAAAAAAAAGAGTTTGTTTTCATTAAGTCAGTTTGCTCTATCATTTTGTGTTCTTGGAGGAAGCGTGTTGTGGTATGTGTCTTTAGTCTGTGTCTGAAAAGTATTCCTTCAGATAGGTTTGTTACTAGCTTTTGTAATGTCATGGCTGCACAGAACTAGGAACTAGTTAATTAACTATGACTAACGTATTTTGAAGGAAAATAAACAACTATATATATCTGTTTTGTGTATATCTACTCTTGTGTTTCCACCTTTTAAAATAAGAGGACTCTTCTTCCTACGCTCACTGAATGAACTCCAAATGTATGATTTAAATTCCTAAGATTCATAAAAAACTAACAACATAAATGTTCCTGGGATTTTTGGTTTTATTTTTTTTGGGGGGGGAATTAAACAAAAGATAAGTTATTACAGCAGTTACTTCTGGGCAGCCCTGATTTTGAAGTATTAATATATTTTGTTCTTACTTTGACGCTACTTGATAATTGGTATCTTTATAAGAACTCAAGAGATTGAACTCTGTACATTTAAACTGAAAGCAATAATTTTGAATTTTTAAAATGTGTGATATTAAATACCCAGTGTTGGAATTTGTTTAGTAATTTAAGCTTTTTTGTTTAGACAGGAGAAAAAGCAAACGTATTTTAAAAACAGTTGTGGAAAAGGTTTTGTTACATGTGTTTTATTCTGAGAGATTTAAGAGTAGTTAAGGGAAAGGGGGTTCATCTTGCTGGAGACTTTGTTTACTTTGGGAAATGATTTGCTTTTTAAGAGAATTAAACTTGTTACACTTGCCACCATGGTGGGCCTTTTTCTAGAGGAATGTGACCTAAAGATAGCATATTTACTGTCAGCTGGCATCATCAAAATAAAAGGTGTTACTGTAATTGACAAAATATTAAATAAATAAAAGGGACATGTGTGCAGGTTCTAAGTTGTAAATTTGGTGATTTCTTTAGGCAGGTTAATGATTGTTCTTTTCTCTTAGTTGACTTAAAGCAGGACTGGCTAACACTTTCCCCTAAATTTCCAACTATTAAACAAAAGTTAGTCACATAACATTAAGTGTGAGAGCTCTCAAGAGAAAGTTTTCAAACTTGATTCCTATTTTATAGGTTAACTTTAAGTTCTAAAAATAAGGGAAGAGAGATCTTGTAAAAAGATTCACTTTTTTTTTTTTTGTTTTTGTTTTTAACAGCAAAGCAGGGAGTTTATTGAAGGAGATAGAAGGAAGAACCCCAAAAGATTCACTCTAAGTTTTATTTTAAAATGATTGGATTTTCTGAAGAAAGAATTGGATCATTGTTTTCCAAACAAACTACAACATTTCGTCTTCAGAAATGGATTTGCATTTAATAGAAGAAAAAGAAAAGACCTTGTAGTTAGGGGCTGAAAATGAATGGGGGGGGGGGAAGGTGTTAAACAAGGGAGTGAAGTATTGATAAAAGAGTGGAAAGATTTTTCAAGCCTTTTTCTTTAGTGGTTATAATTATAAATGAGTGTCCAAATCCAAAAGAAAGTTAATTCATATAAGGTGAAAGATACATGTGACCAGTATCCAACAAGTTTAAAATAGAAACAATTTATGAACCTTTTAGTAAGAAGATTTTTTTTATCCAATATTAGGTGAGATGTTTTGGGCTTTAAGTAAGAGAAACAATGATTGACTCCATTTTTTCTGTACTGCTTAGAGAAAAGGTGGAATCAGAGCTCATTCTCCCTATTTTAATTTTCACCTAGGAATTAAACTTGACAAATGCATAAATTTAAGTTTTCCTCACTGCTAAAGAAATCCTTCACTGTTACTATTTGGTGTTCAGTATTTCCAGAGGAGTCTTTCTTAAGGATAGTGGTATTTGTCTTTTGGAAGAGTTGTAGGTTTTTGGAACCAATTCCTTATTTTATGATGCAAACTAGAAAGATGAATTTTTATTCCACTGGTTTCTCAAGTGGAGAACTTTTTAGTACAGAAGAGGAAGAAAGGCAATTCCCATCACTAATTTATTCAAAGTGTACTTAAGTGTTTCCAATGTAACGTTGTGATGGTGGTATAGATTTTGGTGGAAAAACCAAAACATTCTTTCTTATAATTATGTTTCAGAGATGAAGTACATGACATTAGCAGTTGGAAGAATCTTGATTTAAAGGTTTCCAGCTTCTAATCTTTTAAAATTACCTTAATATATATCATTTGAATCTATTCTGTGTGTGGGTACTTTTAAGGCTAATTTTTAAGAGTTTATTTATGCTACACTTTAATGTGTAACACAGCCAGTTGACAAAGATTCCATTGAGATAGGCCAACGAATATACAATTTTAAAACATTAAACATTTCAGATCTGGTTTAGTTGAGTGAGAAGAGGGAGACTAAGTTTGGAGATTTTTGTGTTTCAGAAATACTGGTTCTCTCTCTTCCTTGTTGTGTTTGTTGGGGGGTGGGGGGTCATGGTGGTGATGGTGTCTTTAGAATCAGCCTATGAACCAAGGCGTTTGAAGAACAGACATTTTTCCAGCTCTTAGAAATTAAAAATTCAGTCTTGTTCACTCTCCATCCTCTTAGAAGATTCTTAAAAGGTGGCTAATGTCTTCCAGAAAGTGCAGTTTAGGTTTGGGGATGGGAGTAAGGAAGTGAAAAGGGGAGGAAAAAGCAGCAGGGGAGACTGGAGCAATCTGACCATTGAGTCCCGGGTTGGAAATTCCAGACGGGGTAGGGGAGGGGTGCGCGGACAGAGGGAGAGAGAGAGGTTGGGGTGATTTCCCGCTTCCCTTTTAAAAAGAAGCGTCTGAGGCTCACAGCTGTCCACCGCGCGGGGGTCCGAGAGACACCAGGTTTAGAAAACGGGTGGGAGATTGAACACAGGGCAAGGTTGTTTCTGCTTTCAGAGTTGCCTGCCTTCCCTTCCCCTTTTCAAAAAAAAAAAAAGGTGGGGGGCGGGTGGTAGAAAGTCGCGGCGGTGCAGAAGGCGCTTCCTGAGAGCTTGCGCGGGTTTTGCTGCCCTAACCCTT